TATATATATATACTATACATATATTTATATTCATATTCACAAATATCAGATGCATCGCATATTTGTAGCAGTTGGGTGACCTGGTGTTGGCAAGTTTACATTCATATTCTGTGCATGAGTTATCTTTGCTCAGGATAAGATCTTTTATATTGTAACACTTTCCCCCAGGTAAAGAATCACCAACACCACCGTCGCTTTGTTTGACCTCTGGGCCTCGCCGCCCGAGACCACGGCCAAGGAGTCAAAGCGAAGGCAGAATTGTGACCGACGGCATGAAGCGAATACAGGTGAGGATAGTTTTATATTCGCCGTTTGTGGATATCATATGTAGTTTAAGGTTCCTACTATTAACAAGAGTCTAGGGTAACAACAGTTGAGTCTTCACAAGGGATATAACTGTGTTATCGTTCCGCGGTGCAATCTCCCCGTAAACCTGTCTAAATATTGTATGTCAAACAAATGAGTACTAAGATATTCGTTGTTTCTTTGATTACTGCATACGTTCAGCAGTGGGAATGCAAGAGATTGTTCACAATTATAACCTGTAATTGACCTCAGTTAGCCATGCACCTTTACAGTCCACAGGCGTTCCCGGCAACTCAGAGAGGGATGTGGGGCTATTTGTACACTCGACGACCAGAGCGCAACTACAGAAGATGCTGTTGGAGGTAAGACATGTGTGGGACTGAAATGACTTGTTTCATTTGCAACGGTTCTAAGCGCGAATATCCATCCCAAACAGCGTCACACATCACGGTAGAGTGCGCGTGACCATCGCTTAGTATATGTATACCATGTTTTCGGGTGTGGATGCAGGGCGCAAAACACTTGGTAGATTCAGAGCTTGGTTGTCATTGACGTGACGTGCTATAGATGTTGTCTAATTTTATTTACAATTCCCCGTGCTGTCTACTGCGGAGCACCATAAATTTGAAGGCTTTGCATTTATTTTGATACTAAAAGCTCAGATGCCAAGCAACTCGCTGCAAAACTCACTCGTCCGGAGAGTCATGTCTCTGGTCTCACCTTTGTACTTGTACCTATTCAGAACGGCGCACGGCAAAGCTTCTTCGACAATTCGTTCTCACCCGGTCACTCGGCCACCGAGCTGGTGCAAACCCCAGCCACCGCGCAACCCCGCGCAAAAGTTCGGATAACGCCCACTATTATAGTCACTATAAGCGAAGATGTGGAGGTGGACCTAGCCGGCAGCGATACAGGCGATATATCGAAACCGGTGCCAGATAAGGAAGTGCAGGCTGGAAGTTCACCAGACGTACCGAGGTCATGTGCGAGCTGTGAGAAGGAAGGGGAAACGAATTGTGACTGCAAATTACCGTGTGTAGAAAAAGCACACAGCGGAGGTAATGCGGTCACGGGTGAAGTTGTCGCTCCCTTGCCGTTTAAAGAGGCATTCCGACAAAAGTCTAAATACATAGGTATGTGAGCCTGGTGTACGCGTGCTTTGCATGATTTAGTAGGTATATTGTCAAGTCATCAGCCAATGAGAACTGCGAACTTCGACAAGTCCTATGTGATTGAAGCAATGGGCGATCATTCACAAATACACCAAATGTTCGTACGAGCTTGTTCATGCATCAGTGCTTATACGTCCGCTCATACTATGCATGGATCTAATCTACCGATTCACAATGTCTCCAACTGCAGTGGCCCGGATTTCGCACCATCTAAAACTGGGATCATTTGACAACGAAGTCATCAAACGCCGAAGACACCTCTGTACTCCCAGGCGCCCTACCCCACTATCCCGTCATCTGTCAGCGTCGTCAATCGAGGACCACAGACCAACCGCAACAGTCATACGTTTCACCGGCAAGGATGAAGTACACAGGGCATACTCACAAGGTATTGGGTGATGTTATATATA